GAGATGATACAATTTCAACTTACCTTGGACATGACCAATAGATAGGTGGTTGTGGAGGACACATATTATAATAGAAGTTTACGAGGTAGTGAAACGTTGTTTTGCTTATCCTTCCATATTAGTCGTAATTTTATTATGCGTGTAATTTCTTGTCCTTCGACGTCTATTACTATATGATGTTTTTGGTACTTCGATTATCATATCAAATTGAAGCAATTTAGCCAAAATATTCAGAAGTGTAAATTTCATATATGACATATATTATAGTACTATTTTCAAGTTATAACAGTAGATTTAGACTTTCAAGTTATAACATTAAAAATTTCAGGTTATAACAAGTTAAAAAAAAGAAATGTTTTTATTAATTGGAAAAAACTTTTAAAATAAATAAAAAGATAATAGAAGATTTAAAAAAAAAAACGGAATTAGAAATAATAAAGTAAAAAACTGAAATTGTGGGTTGTAATTTAATTTGAATTTATTGTAGATAATTAATGATTAGCATGAAATAAGGGATCCAAACTAATTAAGAATATTCAGTTTCCTTAATTCACTCTAATTTGTTAAAATTAATTCAAAATTTTGATTTTAAAAATCAATTTCTATTTATTTAATAAATGATTAATCTATTTATGATTTTTTATTATTAATTAATAATATGTAATTAATAAGGAAAAAATGAAAAAAAAAACGGAAATAGGGGTGTCAATTAAATTTGAATTAATTTAAGATAATTATTAATTAGCATGAATTAAGGAATCTCAAACTAATTAAGAATATTCAGTTTCCTTAATTCACTCTAATTTGTTAAATTAATTCAAAAATCTGATTTTATCAATTTTTCTTCCACGTTTCTCTCTCTTCAATTTTCTTCCAGAAATTTTGTCACTGGCGACTAATTGAAGTTTTTTTTTTGGTTGAAAAATCCTATTTTTTTTGTGATGGACAACTACGTATCAATATTAATTAAACATGGTGGAAGATGGGATCCTTCAGGTTAGTATTTTTAATTGTTTTACTATTTGTATTTGGATTTCAGTGAAATGAAAAAAAAAATGAAACTGTAAATCATATTTTGTGATTTTGTTTTTGTACATCATCACTATATTGAATGTGATATATTTTTTTGTATAATAATACGTTTTGTTCATAATACGTATTAACTGTTGTGAAATGTATAATATTAGTGATTTTCTGATTTTGTGATTGTTTTGTGTATTTTTTTTCTTCTTAAAGTATAAAGTAATTGTATATTTATGAATGAATTTAATAGAATTATTGGAAAGAAATTTGTAAGAAATTTGTTTTGTAAGATGTAAAAAAAGTTATTTGGATTTTTGACGAATTGTATAACAAGTGTTTTAAGTTGGTATTAAATTATAAATTTTAGTGTGTTTTATTAGATGTTGTCATTTCTAAAGTAATTAGTGAGTTAGAAATAAATTATTTGGTACGATAAAATATAGATATTTGTAATGTATGATTATTGTTGTATGAAATGTATATTAAGAAAGTATGAAATTTGTATAAAAGCGTGTCCAGTAATCTAAAAAAAAAGTTATTTGAAATTTTGACGAATTGTATGATAAGTGTTTTAAGGTTGTATTAATTTTGAAATTTTATTGTTGACATTTTTGTATAAATTTGTGTGACATTAATGAAGTATTTTCGTAAAATAAATGCACATATTTGTTGTATGAATTTTGTATTAAAATAGTATGAAAGTGTTTGGAATGTACTATTTGAATGATATTTGTATGAAATGTTTTTTGATTGAATGTAAAAATTGTTTTGTAATGTTCTGTCTGTCTGAATGATATTTGTATTTCGAATTGTTTGTTTATAATGTGAGACTAATTTATATTTTTTTTAATGAAACAGGTAATTATGTCGATTTTCAAATGGAGGGGATTTGTTGATGTGAAATTCAAAAGGTCAAAAGTTACTTGTAGTAGATGTCGTCAAGTTGGACATAACAGGAAAACATATTCAAATTATCCTATGCAAAAAATAATGAATGTTCATTTGTTAAGACTATATATAATTTATTTTTTTTGGTGGTTATATTAATGTTTTGGTTTGATATAAAACATAATTTTGTGTTTAGCGTACTGGTTATTATTTATACACTGTTCATTCAATTATCATACAAAATGCATACTGTTATAAATTTAGTGCTTGATATTGTGTTTCAATTTATACACGATTCATTCATTAAGTCCACAAAATTCATATATTTGTTACTAAATATTGTTCCAGATTAAGTATATTGTATATATTAGTAATAATTATAAAAAGTTAATTATGTAATTCATTCCAACACTAGTTTAAGGGTTGGTCATACATATATTAATCATATTTAATTCATGAGAAAATAAGACAAATGTGAAAACACAATTCATAACATTTGTATGTAAAAATCATACCACGATTAAATACAATGTCCAAACATTTAATATTAAAGTCATAGTAATAGATTTCATACACGTGTCAACTAATGTATAGAAACACACTCATACACTGTTCATTCAGTAATCATATAGAATGCATACTGATACAAATTCATTGTTAGATGTAGCATTTATTATTTATACACTATTCATTCATTAATGACACAACTTGCATATCGTTAATGATAAAATTTGTTCCATATTAAAGATATTGTATATATTAGTGACTAATTTAAGTTGTAGTCGGACATATATAAATCATATTTAATTCAAACGAAAATAAGACAAATACAACTATAAAAATTATACCATGACTAAATACAAATATCCAACATTTAATTTTGAAGTCATAGACATATGCATATAAAATGTATTTCATACACGTTTCATCCATTCGTTATACAAATTAAAAACACAGTGCTACTTTAAAAAATAGTGTATCAGAACTGTATGAAGTCTGTATAATGTTTTTGTCCTGAACTTATAATATCCAAACATAATAGGTTAGTGCATGTCAGTCACCATGTGTACAATTAACAACACAGTGTTACAATTTTTAGAACATTCAAAAGAGAATCAAAAGGTGCAATCTACTATTTTGATAACATATTGTAGTATATATCATCAAATACTTAAACAAAAAAGAATTATCCAAAAGTTAAACAGAAAAAATTATCCAAAAGTTTAAAAAAAAAAATATGTAATTCTTAACCAGTGAAATTTGTCACTAATATTGACAGGAATAATTATATCGCCAACAGTGTCCCATGGAATCTTGGCAAGCAATTTGAAGCCTCTAATGCACTGTCCAACATTGTGGTTGGGGGAGATGGATCTCATGCCGCAATTTGACTCTCTCCACTATTTCTCAATGTTATTGACCCACGACATAAACCAACAATCAACAGTGTTGTATGATAATGGACTTGAAGAGTAATTAGCCTTCTTTCGCAGATAATACATAATGTTATTGACATGCTGTTACCAACAAAATTCGAATCTGAGTCGGAATCAGACTCTGTAGGGGTTTCAACAAGTTTTTTCCCCTTCCTCTGAGGATTGCTCAAGGGATCCCAGTCTGTTGTAGTCCGAGGATCTGATAAAAGAGGAGCCTTTTCACTGGAATAGGCTTGTTGAGATACTAGTTCAAGACCTTCTTTAATCTGTAAGAGAACATGAGAAATAAGAAATCCATCATGAATTTGAAAGGAGATTCCTTCCAACATATAATGTCATTTAACATTAGACTTGCCCAGCAGACTGGGTAATCAATTTTGATATTGGACTGGATGAGAAAGGATGGAGAAAGTTTGATAATGGGTTGTGGGTTGAGTCATGTGGGAGTGCAGAAACGTGTGGGATGGTGGTGTGATCAATGATTGGGGATGGTAACGGTAAACAAGGAAAGGAAATCCCTAAAATTGGGTAACTGAAAATTTTAGTTTTTTAAAAAAGGAAGTAAAATAAAATTAATGATCTATTATTAATTAATAATAAAAAACTATAAATAGATTAATAATTTATTAAATAAATATAATTTAATTTTAAAATTAAATTAAATTTAACTGATATGTCATAACCCATAAATAATCTGTTATAAGCAAGAAATTTTTAAAAGTAGGTTTAAAACCCGTAATATTTACTCTTAAATGTGTATATGGGTGATTTTTCCTATTCAGAACTAAAGTCCATATAGGGCAACAAGCTATAGCCCAACCATTTATCTTTCTTTCAGGCCCAAATGTCAGCCCAATCATTTGTCTTTCTTTCAGGCCCAAATGTTCTTTTCTATCAAGCCCAAAATACTAAAAAGCCCAATAATTTATCTCTCTCTCAGGCCCAAACGTTCTTATCTGTCAAGTCCAATATTATGCTAAATAGCCCAACCCCACCCCATTTGGAGAAACTACAAAATTAGACATACTCTACTACTATATATACTATTATTATCTATACTTTCAAAATATTATGTATCTTACCACATAGAGTTTTCTACCATATATTGATGAAAATATACTTAAATACATGTATTTTTGCTACCAGATACACTAAAATAGGGAGATAGGCAAGTGAGACGGGAAGGGAAGCGAGTGTATCTAGTCATGTATTTTAGATACACGCGAATCACGCTAGATACATGTCTCTGTATGTATTTGTGTTATTCACATGTATTTGAGATATCAAATACGTAGGAGAGTGACGAGAGAGATTTGTTATATATCCAGATACATACAAATCCACTTGGATATAGTGTATCTAGAACAAAGTACACTTGATTTTGACCCTATGTATCCCAAAATACATGTATATGGACACACCAAAATCTGATAAGATACGTAATATTGCAAACTATAGTGTATCTAAGCAATTAACTCATAAACTAGTGAGATTTACGTAAGTTTCCCATAATCTTTCTATCAGGCCCAAATATTCTTACTTAGCAAGCCCAAAATGCTAAACAGGCCCAATCTTTAGAAGTTGTAAATAAAGTAGTTGAGACAGTTAACTCCTAACGACGTCGTTTTTCACCTTTCAAAAAATCTTCTCCTTAAACCCCTATCCATTCCACTGACACACTCAAAAACCTCTGAGCAAAACTCCGGCAACCGGAAAAATCCCTCCGACCAAACTCCGGCGAACATGCCGTTCACCCTCCTCTCTCCTCCACCTTTACCTTCACTTCTCCACCATACCCCACCACCCCTCCAATTCAAACCCTTCATTTCCCTCCACCATCTCCGCCTCAAGTACCCCACCACCCTCACCACCGTTTCTGCCATCGGCGCCGACGGTAAGTACTACCCAACCCCCTCAGATGATGACCCACCTGAAGCACCGGAAGATTCAATGCATGGTGTGAACAAATTTCAGCAAATTCAACGGGAAGCAGCTAAAGCAAGAAAACAACAAGAAGAGCTTTTCAAGAAAGAACAGTCCATTTTCGTGAATGCATTAGCTGATGTTGAAGATGCACCTGATAACCCTCTTGTGAATGATAATGACAGTGGGGATGATTTGTTTGGTGAAATTGATAAAGCTATTGCTTTGAAAAGAAAAGAATTTGTAAAACAGGGGCTTTTAAAGCCTAACCCCAAGAAATCAGCTTTAGTTGAGGTTGAAGTTGAAGGTATAGATGAGTTATTGCCTGAAGAAGTTGTTGATTTGGAGGAAATTAGTGAGCTTACTGGATTGACTGAAATTTCGGAAGGCGAAGAAAGTGAAGAAGAAAGGTCTGATTTTGAGGTAAGTGATGATGTGGTTAAAGCTGAATTTTCAGATTTATCTTCATTTGATATTGACTTTGATGAGTATGGTAAAGCAAAGCCAAGAATTGCAGAACCCAAGTTTAGAATGAGTTTAGCTGAGCTTTTAGATGAGAGTAGAGTAGTGCCAGTATCAGTTTATGGAGATTTAGAGGTGGAAATTAGTGGTATACAACACGATTCGCGGTTGGTTGAGAGTGGTGATTTGTTTGTGTGTTGTGTTGGGATGAAAACTGATGGACATTTATATTTATCTGAGGCTGATAAGAGAGGGGCTGTTGCTGTTGTAGCTAGTAAAGAGATTGATATTGAGGAGACTTTGGGGTGTAAAGCGCTAGTCATTGTGGAGGACACGAATGCAGTGCTTGCTGTGATAGCTGCTTCGTTTTATAGGCATCCGTCTAAAAGTATGTCCGTGATTGGGGTTGCAGGAACTAATGGAAAGACTACAACTTCTTACTTAATAAAGGCAATGTATGGAGCAATGGGGTTGAGGACGGGCATGTTGAGTACAGTAGGGTATTATATATATGGGGATAACAAGTTAGAGTCTCCTCATACAACCCCTGATGCAGTTTTGGTTCAGAAACTGATGGCAAAGATGGTTCATAATGGGACTGAGGCATTGGTTATGGAGGCTTCTTCTCATGGATTGGCATTAGGTCGGTGTGATGAGGTTGATTTTGACATTGCAGTTTTTACCAACTTGACGCGGGATCACTTAGATTTTCATGGGACTGAAGAGGAGTATAGGGATGCTAAGGCTAAGTTGTTTGCTAGGATGGTGGACCCAGCACGGCACCGCAAGATTGTGAATATTGATGACCCTAATGCAGCTTTCTTTGTTTCACAAGGAAACCCAGATGTGCCTGTTGTGACTTTTGCAATGGACAATAAGAGTGCTGATGTTCATCCTTTAAAGTTTCAGTTATCTCTCTTTGAGACTCAAGTGCTGGTCAACACACCTCAAGGCATATTGGAAATATCTTCTGGTTTGCTTGGAAGGCATAACATCTATAACATTCTTGCAGCAGTTGCTGTTGGAATTGCGGTTGGGGCACCTTTGGAGGACATTGTCAAAGGTATTGAAGAGGTTGATGCAGTCCCTGGTCGATGTGAGCTGATAGATGAGGAACAGGCATTCGGAGTAATTGTAGACTATGCTCATACCCCTGATGCTTTATCAAGACTACTTGATTACGTGAGAGAGCTTGGCCCTAGGAGGGTTATAACTGGTATGCAATCAGCAACTTCTTCCTCCTTCTTCCATTCAGCAAGGGTGCATTTAAATGCCCACGTTAAAACAGAAAGTCTCTGCTTTTTTTATGCATGCTTCTCTGCATAAGAACATAGGTGGAGGAAATTTCCAAGCTTCACGTTTGGAAAGTTTTCATGTTCTTAGAACGGTGGTTTGTTTATAGACATAGACATACACACATGTAAATCTACATGATTTATTCCTGTATGAAAAGAAATGCAAGGAATAGAGCAACGACCTAGAAGTTATATGTATACATTGCATGTCGTTTTTGAGAAAAGTTAATCAAGTCCCACATAGTAATTTTGTTGAAGGATTTTGAGATATTTCAAGACAGTTTTCCTGGCGGGGCAGGTTTGAACATGCCCGATGATTACAATTATAAACCAAGTTAGAGGCGTTGGCCTGCAGAAGTTGCCAGCTACCCTTGACACTACCTTGTGTTTCCCTAAAGCATGAACCAAATTTGTTTCACCATTAACTGTCATCCCCTTTTGTCCTTATTAACATTTCTCATTAATGTTTTCAAATTTTCTTTATCTGTTATCTATTATTTTTTACTAAGGTGTAATTCTTTGCTTGAAGTTTTTGGTTGTGCTGGAGAGAGTGACAGAGGGAAGAGACCCATAATGGCAAAGATAGCAACAGATAAAAGTGATGTGACAATTCTGACATCTGACAATCCAAAGACTGAGGATCCTTGTAAGTATCATAGCTTGAAGAAGATGTAACAGAGAAGGTTTCTGGAAATCATCATATTTGAGATTATTTGTCTGTCTTTCTCTTTTTCACTATAAGATCACAGATCTCAGAAATATGCATTGGTGGTTGCCGATCTGTTCTTACAAAAGTAGTCTCTTTCAGTTTCCTGTCTGATATTACATGTGCTGCACTTAAGCTGGATTTTGATCTCTCTTGTTTACTTGTTGTCTATCTTCTCTTATCTGCTGTGGCACTGTCTAGGCACTCAATTCCTATTAGATTAGTGTCGATTTTGCTTTCTTGACATGTCTGGGTGTCGACACTGAAGCTATATCATCTTATCTTCTATCAGTGGACATCTTGGATGATATGTTGGCTGGTGTAGGATGGACTATGCAGGACTACTTGAAACACGGAGAGAATGATTATTACCCCCCTCTCCCCAACGGCCATAGACTCTTCGTACATGATATCAGACGTGTCGCTGTGCGCTGTGGCGTTGCCATGGGTGAGGAAGGTGATATAGTTGTAAGTTGCTTGTCACCATTCTTCTTCATTTGTCCTTGTTATTTGTTTTCAAAAGCTAACCGATGGTACAGGCTACAACTTATATGGGTCAAACATATTCATAATAGAAGTGCTCACCAGGCAATTCAATTTTATTTGTGTTGTTTAATCCGGTTCATGTTAACCACCCTGCAGGTGGTTGCTGGCAAAGGCCATGAAGCATTCCAAATAGAAGGTGAGAAGAGAGAATTTTTTGATGATCGAGAGGAATGTAGAGAGGCTTTACAGTATGTTGATGAACTTCACCAAGCTGGAATTGACACAAGTGAATTCCCATGGCGGTATGTACCTTCGTCTTCTGTCTCAATGTTTTAGTGTAGTTGAGGTTTTCATCTAAGATAAAAGGAAGATTCTTACCTTGCTGTTTGCGAGGACAATATTTTCTAGTTCCCGTTTGGTAGCTTAAGGATTAGAGGTTATTGTTTTCAAGTCGTTTCTCATGGCTAACACCACACATATCCAATCGTTTTCTTCATAAAGGAAGGAAATGAAAATGCTGGAAAATAGGAGTACGAATGAAATTGTTAGTTTGATAGGATGAGGCCAACTTTAATCCTGGCTGTATAATTAACCCTCTTATTGCTATTCTTCTGTAGGTTACCAGAGAGTCACTGATTCGATGCCATAAAGTGTATGTTAAGATCTTGACAGTGTGCTGACGGCAGATAGCCATTGTGGAGTGCCCATTAAATTTGAATCAACATTGTAAGTTTCTTGGCGTCCCACCCGCTCTTCTCCCTTCTGTCTTTTCACAATCTGGAAACGTGAAAGCTACTTCATTTCCTCTTAGTTCTGATCTTTTTTCCTGAAGTAAATAGGATTTACGTGCCTTTTCTTTTGGGCAGATTATCATTTATGCCGCCATTAGATGGTGATTTTCTAGAGAAATGGCAACACAACGCCCAAAGCAAACTCCAGTTTTGTAAGAACCTATAGCCTGATTTTGACTGGGATCTCCATATCTAGAATGAGATTCATTAAGGGGCTTCACGGCTCTCCCACCCTTCATTGAATTATGTTTGTATAGGGAAGTACATAGAGATGAAGAGCAATTATCGAGTTGAGATGCTGTTCTGCTATTCCAGATTACGATTTCCTGTAATAGTGGAAGTTCTTTCTTCAACAACTGCTATATGACAAAAAAGTTACACCATTTGTATTAGACACAGCCAAATACTGCCTCTGATGCATAAATGAGCATCTACTGAGTGATTTCCGGTACTTATGCAGGTGAGAGGTTTACTTGTTCGAATAGTCCAAGTGTGCACAAGCTAGTCTAGCCGTTACCATTATAAAAAAGCTCTCTGTTATCTCTACTCTTTTGTCTACTTTCTAGTACACTAACTTGACAGTGTCTCTCTGTCTGCCTCCTGAGCACTGCACAGAGTTAGGTTCTTCATCTTTTTAACTCTGAAAAATACATCTAAAGCACTATATTTCACAAACAATGTAAGACAAGTAAAGGCTCTAGTTAGTTTGTTCATCTAAATAATATTATATGATATCCCATTGCATATAAGGGTGCGGTCCAATGATCAATAAAGCGGAAGCAAAAAAGTAAACACTAAGAAACTTCTTATTTATCTAAGCTTGAGCAGAGTTATTTGGTAACTATATTGGTAGGAGGTAGTAGATTTCCCATGGAATAGTTGAGGTGTGCACAAACTGCTCTTAACACTATAATCATCGCTTAAGTTGTGCATATTCTTCACTTTTCATGTCGTATATGTGTCAAATTCTCTAAAAATACACTATTTTGGAGAATTTGACACACATTTATTTTAATATTTTTGAAGAGTCCGAGCAATACAAGTCATCGCATCAAATTCCACCAGCATGCTATATACTATGCAAGATGCATACACGATCAGCCCAAATTGGGAACAAGTTGAAACATATTTTGAAGTTCAACCAAATTTGTCACATCATGTTTTTGCCTCTTTTAATTTGATGGTGATATATAACAGACAATGAAAAAAACATAATGCATTGTCTTTAATTATTTGAATAATGTTATTCTGAAAATTATTGGAATTGAACATGCCCCAACTATAAAAATTTGTCTTTGCTTATTTATACTTATCCAAACTTCTAGAACAATTTTTACTTTGTAAAAAGATTAAAAAAAAAAAGTCACTCATCAGCAATCAAAATCATATAAGCAGATTTTGAAAATCACTATGATAGGACAATTGAAAATGACAGAGGTGAAGAGCTTAGAAGCATAATAAATAATATGTTCATAATATTCTACTCTTATATTAAGATCAAAAAGGAAATTTCCTTTTTTCTTTACCTTAGTCCTTACCTGAACTCGAAAGGTCACATTTTTATTCGGTGAAATATTAAAAACATCCTTAAATTCAATCTGAATTATTGGTTTGATTTTTAAATTATTGACAGACTTAAAAACACTTTTTACTTAACTAACTAAACATGAATACACCTTCGGTGTTGTAACATGAGTGAAAAACACCCTTAAATTCTCATCAAATTTAATGGCGTTTTCAACACTTCTTTTGATTTTTTATTAAGAGTCTCATGCTCCTACAAGAGTTTGAGATCACTTACTATGTAACGTGACAGATCAAAAGTGTATTTAAATTTAATTAATCAAGTAAAAAAAAATGCTTTTGAAATTGTCAATAGCTCGGAGATGAACTTAATAATTTACAACAAATTCAGACGGGATTAAAGATAACATTATTAACAATGAATGAAGTTTATAATGAGCTAAACGACATCGTATAAGTCCATCAAGGCTGATGCTTCGTGATTGTCAGTAGCTCTTCTTGGAAAAACAGTAGATCCAAAGTCCACTCATCAAACTCATAATTTTCTCCTTTGAATTCACCTTTTGTATGATTGAGAAGTAAATAGTAGTTCCCTTTTTCTTCTCTGATTCTTCATATTTTCAAGAATTGTGTGTTTTTCTGTAAATACATTTGTATGGTGATGAGCTAGCTGTGAATCCATCAAGAAAAAGGGGAATTTTTGATTGAAATTAAGAGAATCCCCATGGATTTTCTGAGAATTACTTCTGTAATTTTCATCTGTGGAGTTCTACTGAAATTTCCTGCTAAAGTTACAGCTGGTGATATTGTTCATGATGATGACTTAGCTCCCAAGAAGCCTGGTTGTGAGAATGATTTTGTGCTGGTATACTTTTTTTCTGAGTTTCTAATGTTTGATTTTTCTTCGACCCAGTATGTTTTAGTTGATTATCTTATTTGGGTTTCTTTTAGTTTTGTGTGTTTTTGCTTTGTTGTGGTTGGACTAGTGAAAATTTGGTTGTTAAAGGTGTTGGTTTTAGCTTGATGTGATGTTACTTTCATTTTCTCAGCTGGGATTTTTCAATTTTGTGTGCTTTTGCTTTGTTGTACTCGGGCTAGTGAAAATTTAGCTGTAAAAGATGTTATCTTTAGCTTGATGCAATGTTACTTTCGATTTCTCATCTGGATTTACTCTATTTTGTTAGTTTTTCGCGTTCTTGGGTTCGGACTTATGAACATTTAGCTATGAAAAAGTGTTGATTCTAGTTTGATCCTATGATACTTGTAATTTTCTCAAGTGGGTTTCCTGTACTTTTATGTTGTGCTTGGACTAGTGAAAATTTAGTACTAAAAGGTGCTATTTTTAGATTGATCCTATGTTTTTTTTTTGGATAAGGTAAAGTGTTTTATTGATGATTATTGATTAGTATTAAGAAGGTACTTTAAAAATACAGCTTAATCCTATGTTACTTCTATTTTCTCAACTAGGTGTCCTCTAATTTTTTTTTGGGTTTCACGGTGTTGCTCGGACCAATTAAACTTAGCTATGGAAGGTGCTGTTTTTAGCTTGATCATATGTTAATTTAACTTTCTCAACTAGGTTCCCTCCATAAAAGAATACTTTTAGCTGGATCATGTCTTGCTTTTTTTCTTTTTCAACTGGTTTCCTCTATATTGTTCGGTTTTGCTTTATTGAGTGTGGACTGTTGAAAATTCAGCTGTGACAGGTACTGTTTTTAGCATGATCCTCTGTTAATTAATCTGTCGATTAAGTTATGTCCATCCAAAGTTCCATTTTCTTTTCCGCCTCTTTTGATGTTTTAAGTTATGATTTGATTTTCTTGTTAGGTGGTAATCTATTTATTTTCAGAACAATATAGATCTTGTCATCTTGAGGCAAAATGTGAAGATAAGAACATATTTTCGGAAAGTTCATATAGTATTGATTGCAGATGCTACATTATGGACCTAATGTTACATATTCTGTTAAGCTGCTGGAGTGCAGAACTTTTCATTGTCTAAACGAACATCTTTATTTAACATGGTTATGGAAGAAGTTAACTTTTTTGATTTAGCTTGGTGGTGCTTTAACACTTGCAAAGGTTTATTCATGGTATCCTTTGATTGTCTTTTGTCCATGGTATCTTCCAGTATTTACCTGATAAGTGCTGATTTTTTGGTTAGGTGAAAGTTCAAACTTGGATTAATGGGGAAGAGGATGCAGAATTTGTTGGTGTTGGTGCTAGATTTGGCACTACTATTGTGTCAAAGGAGAAAAATGCACAACAAACTCCGCTTACTCTTTCTGACCCTCGGGATTGTTGCAAGCCTCCAAGGAAAAAGGTTAGTTTCTCCACATAAATGCTTACCAGATGTATACCTCAAGGGAATTTGCTTTATGCTTCTAATAATGGCTTTTGTTTTTCAATCCATTTTGGTAGCTTTCTGGAGAAGTCGTCATGGTAGATCGCGGCCATTGCAAATTCACAACGAAGGCAAATAATGCTGAAGCAGCAGGGGCTTCGGCAATCCTGATAGTAAATAATCAAAAAGGTAATTGGTGATTGATGAATATCCACGGACTATGAAATTATGACTATAAAGTATTTATACTATGTGGTGTAGTAATTGGATGTCTTCTGCAGCAATAATAAGTTAAAGACACTTGAAGTCTAAAGATAAAAAGTTTCTTATTTCTTCTCATTGTTCTCTTTCTGAGGGGGTTGTGTGGAGCTCTTACTGTTGTCTGTTGATTGAACACTGCCATACCTCACCGCTTGCAGTTGTTTTACGGGTGCCATTTCTTTTGCAGAACTCTACAAGATGGTTTGTGATCCTGGAGAAACTGACCTAGATATACACATACCTGCTGTTATGCTACCTCAGGATGCTGGAATAACGCTTAATAAAATGCTTTTAAATGGCTCATCAGGTAAGATTCTGAGTTTACATGCAGCTTAGATGAGAAAGTACTTGATATCAACATGTTCTAGGCACTGTTAAAAGCTTAATGCAGGGATAATGCTGTTAAGTAATATACTCGGTTACGCCCCTAGGGCTGTGGTTCTATGATAAGAAACCAGAACTCTGTGTAGATTGGGCACACATCAGTGTTCAAACCCAGTAACTGCCACGAGGCCTGGCATGTAAGTAAGAGTGGGGTAGAGGGACATGCATGCCCATACTCTTCTGAGTTCCGTACCTGTGGACCAACTAGGCTTGTCCAACTAATCCACAATGAATCTCTCGGTTATAAGAAAATAACAATGACGCGCTTGATCAGAAAAATGCCGGAAAATGATATCTTTACGTGCAGATAGAAGTCAGGTGCTGAAATCATGGTTAATTTGGCCTGCAGTCATATGATAAGAAAAGTAGTATTTTCACAGTTAATCACCTTGTGCTCCTGCAACTTCGTGATTGTTACTCTGGGCTACGTAGTGTGTTTTTGTACTTCCAAAACTAAACTTTGACTCAGGTCATACTAATATTAAGTAGTTACAAAGATTTTACATTCAAAGAGATAATAAAAATGCCACTCTTTTTTTTTTTTTATAACAAAGGAAACCCGCAGCTGCTACCCTTTGGGTGCGCACAGGGTAAAACCCCCGCTCCTATGCAATGGCTCGCAAACCACACAATAGAGGTAACCCGCACCAGGCAAGCCTGGTGCGACGAGCTCGACCCAGAAGGGAAACCCCTTGCTTTCGCTGGCAAGGGGTTTCAAACTTGAGACCTCCAACTGGAAGTCCCAAGCCCAAACCACTGGGCCACCCCCGAAGGGGTTTCAA